ATAACAACAATAATCAATATCATCATGGCAGGCGGTGGCGGCGGCAGCGGCAGGACTGGCCTGGGCCAGTCCAAAGGCCTCAGGGGCCCGCATCCGGCCCCCAGGCCTTAGGTTGCCTACCCCTATTCTACCAGCTGCCATTTGGTTAGAGTTCTTATTGCATTATGCCCCAGTTGCTATTGCTGGACCTATTGCAATGCTCTTAAATTGCACCCCTTTAAGAACCAAGCATTTGGAAGTGGGAGCCTTTACACTGGGTGTATTCCTACTCTGTCTACTTATTTGAATCATTTATGTATTGTTTCTCAGCCAATCAGGGCTCCCAAAGTGATATACAATGGATTAAAACAAGGAAAACATTTTCAGTGCCTTTCTCAGAATCCCTGTGACATTCTGTTCCCATCCCTGTTCCATACTGGATCACAAGATTTTAATTTTTTTCCTTGATTTTATCTTAATAATGAAATACCATATTTTCTGGCGTATAAGACAAAAGCCCAACTTTTCCAGTTAAGATATAGAGTTTGGGATATACTCACTGTATAAGACTACCCCTCTTCCAGCGCACACCAAATAAAAATTTTAAAAAATCAAATTTGATTTCAATATGGTAATTTTAATTCAAATGCTTATGACATGCAGGTACTTAGCAGGAAAACTGTCACTTATAAACACAACAAACTACAGCTCCCATGTTCCCTAGCATTTCTTTCTGCAGTGTGTTTTGGACCTTACTCTAAAAAAATAGTCCAGATTTAAATGCTGCTTTAAAAATTATTTCCATCTCCCAGCTATGAGATGTTTTGGGGAAAATGAGAAAGTGTTGGGGGGAAGGACTGCCAGTATACTAGGTGATGCATTCTGGGGATATGTACAATTTGTGGCCAAGTAAGTAACCCTGGGCATGTCACACACTCTCAGCCTCAGAGGATGGTAATGGCAACCCCTATTTGAAGAAACATGCCAAGAAAATCCCATGATAAGGTTGCCTTAGGGTCACCATAAGTTGAAAAGACACACAAGAAGAGCCCTGGTGGCGCAGTGGTTAAATGCCTGTATTGCAGCCACTCACTCATAGACAAGGTTGCGAGTTCAATACTTGCCAGGGCTCAGGCTAGACTCAGGCCTGCATCCTTCCGAGGTCGCTAAAAGGAGTACCCAGCTATTGGGGGCAATGAGCTTACAGTTGTAAACCGCTTAGAATCCCCATAGCGCGATATGAAGTGGTATATAAATGAAGCTGCTTTTTGCTTACAAGAACAACAAAAAAGTCTGCAATTGTTTCATAGGTACTCATGGGAATAGGAGCCAGCATGGTGTAGTGATTTGAGTGTTGGACTACCACTCTGGAGACCTGGGCTTGATTCCTCACTCTGCCATGAAACCCACTGGATGAACTTGGACAAGTCACACACTCTCAGCCTCAGGGGAAGGCAATGGCAAACCTCCTCTGAACTAGTCTTGCCAAGAAAATCCCAGGAGAGGATCGCCTTAGGGTTCCTCTCTTCCTCTTCCTCCCGCCTCGCCATCCCTGTCCTCCTCCTCCTCTCTCTTGGCTTCTTCCTGCCTCGCCACCCCTGTCCTCCTTGTCCTCCACATGCTCTTGCCTGGCTTCTCCCTCCTTTCTTCTGGCTTCTCTCCTTTCTCCTGGCTTCTTCCTGCCTCGCCACCCCAGCCCTCCTCATCATCCCCTTCCTCCTCCTCTTGCCTGGCTTCTTCCCTCCTCTCACCTCTATCCTCCTCGTCTTCATACCCAGCGTATAAGATGACCCCCGACCTTAACCCAGATTTTCCATCTTATACACTGGAAAATACGGTATGTGTACACAGTATTTTGGTACACATTTTTCCTAAATTATGCTGGTACCAAATTTTCTTAATGTCCATATTTTGATGTATTTTCCCTATTGATTCAAGTTAGTTTGTGCACTTTTTTTTTTTTTTTTTTTTTTGGAATATCAACTCATTTTTCTTTGTTGTTCACATCACAAGCTTCAGGAGTATATAGAGATCCAAGGCAAGATGCATTTCTTGGGAGATAGTAAGTGGATTATTTTCTTCTTGTTGTTTTGTGCCAATTTCCAATTTACAGTGACCGTAAGGTGAATCTATTATGAGGTTTTCTTGGCAAGATTTTTGCAGAGAGGGTTTGCCTTTGCCTTGCTCCGAGATGGAGAGAATGGGACTTGCTGCCTAAAGTCACCCAGTGGATGCCATGGCCAAGCGAGGATTTGAACCCTGGTCTCCAGAGTCATAGTCCAAACTCAAACCACTACACCATGCAGGCTGTTAGAGAAATGCAAATCCCAGGCATCCTTTTTCCATTCTTAGCTTTGATTTCTCTCCTTTTCTCACTTGCAATCTAACACACTTTGACAATGAAATTTGGCTCACTCTCAGCCTCAGAGACATTAGTCTGCCGTTTCTGGTTTTGGCAGAAGAAAAATCACTTCCAGATTCTAAATAAAGCATATTGCATAACTATTTCCAAAAAGCAAGACATACTATAGCTCTCGTTTCACGGAAGGAAGCATCAGCTGATTTGCATTGGTTGCTTTAAAAGATTTCCTGAATTTTAAAAAGTAGGGTTTTCTTTCCTCTCCAAAGTTTCCTTCTTTGGAATAATCAAGCAGAATTAAAAGCAAACCGGTTCTTTTGCTTCCAGTTGTCTCTCTTTCAGCACAGTCCTATGCATTGTTTATTCATAAGGATCTTCCACTTTGTGTAATGTGTCTACTCTCGACTTGAGTATCTTTACGGTGGCAGCTTTATTTATTTGTTTATTTAAAATATTTCGAGAATCCTTTCTCCGATGGATTTCAGGAAGATTTATGAGAGAGGCAAGGCACTTATCTGCCACAGCTTTTGGAGGGGCACAAATTGCCCAGCCCTGGGAAGAGCCAGTGTGATACAATGGTTAGAGCATTGGGGACTTGGGAGATCAAGATTTTAATTGCCACTGAACTCTGAAACTCAGTGGGTATTGTCAATTTCTCTCATCCTGATTGACCTTCCAAGTGTTGTGAAGATAAAGAAAGGAGGAACAGGACTCTATGCACTACCTTAGGCTTGTTGGAAGAAAGGCAGATCAGAAACGTAACTAAAACTGAAGTACACTATAGTCAGACTCTTTATAGCTAACTGGCAGTGTTCTTTATCTTGCACAGGTGCTGTCCTTTATCATCTTCATCTGTTACATTGCCTCATCCGCTGCAGCTTTCTTGATGGTCCCCTTGTTAACATTTCTATTGGCCTCCTGCTTTTTCTTTGCATATTCCTTGAAGCTTAATGAGAAGTTCAAAGCAATCTACTGGGTTTTGGCGGTAAGTAGACCAAGCAGAAGCTTTGAAAGTGTTTGTGTCTTAGGGTTGCCAGATTGGATCCAGGATGGGGATCCTCTAACTTTCATCCTCTGACAGATCTTGGAACAGGAGAAGGCATTTGTAAAGCTCTGTCCCTGTCCTTCCTTCCTGGCCAAACCCCAAGTTTCAGGTCTCCTCCCAAGGTGTCTAGAGCCCCATTGGGATGGAGGCAGGGAGAGAGGGGTGTGGAGGAGCTTATTTTCCTCTGTTCTTGTCATGGGATGCTACACCACACCACCACCCCTGCTTCCATCATTGAGGCAATAGCCACGCAGGGAGGGAAGGACTCTGGCTGAAAGTTGGCTTTGAAAAGTGAGGGAAGACTTGATGCTTTGTGTTATCTTGTCCTGCTCCAGCTCCCCATCTGGCATTCCCAGGGAGAGGGATTTCCATTGTCTTTCCAGATGCTTTGGGTTCCTTGTTGGGAGAAAGGTAGGATATAAATGTAACAAATAAATAAAGCCCCTACCCATCTCTCTCGGCTGAAAGAGCTAAAGGTGAAAAGAGAGGTGTGTTTAATGATGGGAGCATCCATTTCCAAGAGAAGCTTGGCCTAAGGGCTGAAGGAAGGCTGGGTTTCCTTTCAGGACCTACTTTGTCAATGGACAGACGTTCCCAGTTTTCTGACCACTTTAGTACAGTGGGGCCTTGGTATCTGCTGCAGTTTGGCGCAAGGACCCCCTCACCCCCCAAGATAACCAAAATATGTGGATGCTCAAGTCCCATTATATACAATGGCATAGCAAATTGTGTCCCTGGTATAAAATGGCAAAATCATTTTGTTGGCCTCCTGCTTTGGGAAGGGGGGGGAGAAATTGGGAATATTGCTGGGTTTCAACTTCCAGAATTGTTGAATCCATGAATGCAAAATCCGTTGATATGGTGGGCAGGCTGTATGTGTCTGGTTCTGACTGATTTGGATCAGCATGGCAAAACATTAAAGCTGGTGCATGGCACCATTTTCATACATTTAATGTGCATGTGTTAGAACAGTGGCTCTCAGATGCTAGTCCTCCAAAAGTTTGGACTTCATTTCTCAAGAAGTCAAAGTCAACTTGAGCAGTGTTCAGGGATACTAGAGTTGAAGTGTCAAACATCTGGAGGACCAGATTTTGAGAACCACTGCATTAGAATGCAGTTACAGATGTCTGTCATCATCAGAATGCCACCCTGAACCTGCCTGGTTCCGCCAGTGCCTTGCTTCCTTCACAGCTGCTGCAACCATGGCCTTTCCCCTCCTCTTGGAACTACTTACGAGGAATGGCTTAGGCAGCTGGGTATATTTAGCCTGGAGAAGAGACAGTTAAGGGGTGATATGATATGATTTGAAGGGATGTCACATTGAGGGGTGTCTTCTGCTCCAGAGACTAGAACAGGAACAACGGATGCAAGCTCCAGGAAAAGAGATTCCATCTCAACATTAGGAGGAACTTCCTGACAGTAAGAGCTGTTTGACAGTGGAATACACTCCCTTGGAGTGTGGTGGAGTCTCCTTCATTGGAGGTCTTTAAACAGAGGCTGGATGGCCATCTGTCACAGGGGATGCTTTGATTGTGATTTCCTGCATGGCAGAGGTCGGACTGGATGGCCTTTGTGGTCTCTTCCTACTCTGTGATTCTACATCCACTAGCATAGGTACACCAGGGCAGTGCATCAGCCAGATTTTGACCCAAATTCCCTATCATTCTTTCCCTCCCTGGCTCCTCCATGTGATGCATATGGATGAAGCTTAGAGAAATTGCTTTTCTGGATTACAGCTCCTGAAATTCTGCAGCCAGCATGATCACTGAATTCTGGGAGTTGTAGTCAAAAACAAAAAGGAAAGGAAAGGAAAAAGGAAAGGAAAAAAGAACTTCTTTGAGCTCTCTTCCAGAGGACTCGCCTCACTTTGCAGCTGAGCTTGCAATCTTGAAAGCCATGGGAACACACATTTGAGGGAGAAAGAGATGAGAGAGAAAAGAAAGGGAGAATCAATTTACATAAAACACTAATTTTTCTCCATGAAATGTTGGTCTTGCCTGCAGGAATCATATTGTACTGCTTGTATTCTTTCTAGACCCAACAGAGTCTGATACTCATGTTCTCTGATGTTGGGTTTCAACCTCCAGAATTGTTGATCGTTGGGTCTGTTAATTAAGAACTGTGAGTGTTATGAAGAGACCACAAAGGCCATCCAGTCCAACCTCTGCCATGCAGGAAATCACAATCAAAGATCTTCATAACACTCACTGCCTTATACTGAGCCAATTGGGCCATGTACCCCTAACATTATCTGGTGATCTCCCATCTGAGTACTAACCAGACCAGATTCTGCTTACCTTTCATGATCAGAAGAGATTGGATGGGTTCAGGGAAATATGGTGATCTGACTGAGACAGGCATTTGGAAATCAATGGTGTACTGGTATTATAGTGGTCTGGTATGGTACATAGTTTTACATGAAAGTCCTGATGTTATATCTTTTTCTAGAAGTCATTTATAGGAGGAGCAAAACCATACTAATATATTAACCTATGTTGTCTGAAACTTTTACGCATGATTCTGATAAAAAAAAACTTCATAATCATAAAAGAACTGGAACCACCAGCCCACATTTTTCTTGAACTTTCATATCCCTAAATCTGGCCCATAATGTCCATAAACCAACTCTTCAAAAATGAAATATACAGTCGCCCCTCTGTTTTTGCAGACTTGAAGTTCGCATCCCTCACCAATTCGCGGGTGGCCAATGGAGGGGGACAAAATGGGGCATGCCACCATTCAAGACTATGGATATCTGAATATTTGCGATTTTCCATTTTCATGGGGGGGTCCAGAACTCCCGCAAAAATGAAGGGACGGCTGTATAATTTGCCTGCTGGGGCCTATTCACACTAAACAGTTACAGCACTGTAAACCCACTTTTAACTGTCATGGTTCAGTCCTGTGGAATCCTGGGGTTTGGAGTTGAGGGAAGGATATTAAGAATTCACAGCCAAAGAGCCTGAAAAACTACAAACCCCAGAATTCCATGGGACATTGCCATGGAAGACAAAGTGGAATGTGGCGTTATAATTGTGTAGTGTGAATGGTCCTTGGTTTAAAAGCCTACCAGCTTCTGCTACTGGTTGTTCCTCCAACTGACCGCTAGATGCAGCTGTGTTCCCAAATAAATCCCCTTTTTGGCAAAGGAAGCTTGGAAGAATGAAAAAAGAAGAAAGGGGTTACAAAAGTGTAGTGAGCTTAGTTGTGCCCTTATAGTTCATTATTTCCCATCATCCCTCGAATTTCGCTGAGTACTGAAGGATGTAATAGCATAAACAGATAGATATGTAGTTCTCCCTGATCACTGTTGTGCTAGTCATTCCCATCAGAGATGTCTCAGACTGGCTTGCCCCCAATATATTAAAAATAGTTCACTTTTCTTCCCGAATTTTGTAGCATATCTAAAAAGAGCGGGGGG